ACCCGGATTGGGCTCAAATGAACCCGAATTGGGTTCACTTGAACCCGGATTGGGCTCAAATGAACCCGAATTGGGTTCACTTGAACCCGGATTGGGCTCAAATGAACCCGAATTGGGTTCACTTGAACCCGGATTGGGCTCAAATGAACCCGAATTGGGTTCACTTGAACCCGGATTGGGCTCAAATGAACCCGAATTGGGTTTAAATGAACCCAAATCGGGTTTATCTAAACCCAAGTTGTGTTTAACAACCCAAGATTGATTTTTTTTATTTTTTTATTTTTTAATTTTTTTATTTGATTTATTTTTATTTGATTTTTTTTAATTTTATTTATTTTTAATTTATTTTTAATTTTTTTAATTTTTTAATTTTTTTTAATTTATTTATTTATTTAATTTTTTTTATTTTTTATTTCTTAGTTTTTAATTTATTTTTTTTACTTGTTTCATCAGTGTAGAACAGATTATATTGATCACTGTGACCTAAACTTTCGTATGATATGAATCGTTTTTGTGAAAAGTACAATTTCAAATATTACATGATCACATTCTTGTCAGTGTTGAGAGTATCGTTATGGGTAGATGAGTTAGCAGGCAAATTGCAATTTTTCAAGGGTGTGTGGGTGGGCAAATTACAATTTGTCAAGAACAGATGGGTGGATAATCAAGGATGGGTGGGTGGTAATCAAGGATGGGTGAGTGGGTAATCAAAGATGGGTGGGTGGTTAATCTAGGATGGGTGGGTAATCTAAGGTGGGTGGATAATCAAGGGCAGGCGGGTAGGTGGGTAAACTGTATATTTCACTATGTAAGTAACACCTATGCAAGAATTAAAGTTCAGTTGGAAATTGAATAGTGGGATGTAAATGCTAAATCAATTTCTTATTTGATTATTAAATTCTTGCATAGCATTACAGACGAAACATAATATACCTTTTTCAATAACAACATTGTTGTTGATTTTTATAATGAAAAATTAATTATTTAGTAGATCAAATTGTTTACTTATTACTGTCTGGAAATTGTATTTGAACATAATGTCATAACTGTTATTCTTGTTTTTGTGCAAATACTTTATGCAACTATCTTATTTATAACTTATTAGATATTAATTAAATCATGTAGAAATTAATTACATCACTGATAAATGTGAGTTCACAAAAAAATTCACATGACCATGAATCATTCAGGGTGGCCTCCAAAAATGCAGTGAATTGGATCATCATAGTGCAGCAATGATACATATATATATAGAGATTGTGGCACAGCCATGATATACAAAAATTACTTGATAATCGTTATTTTTATTAAAAAATTTTTAGTACCTGGTACTTTGGATACTTCGCTTTGATAAAAATACCAACAAACATTTTCAAGATTACAAATATTTAACATTTTATTTATATTTAATAACTTAGTTATTATAAATTAGATTTTATACTATAGAATTCATCTACAACTAATAGGACCCACCTTATAACTTATTTTTTTAGAGTTTATGTTATAAATAATTATTAACGAAGTTTAATTACTCAACACTATAGGATCTTCTGCCTTACTAACTGCTATGTTCTTTGCAACCTCTGAATTATTTGAGCATAGTAGGTACATAAAACAGGGTTTTTTACTTTTTGTATCTCAAGTAGTTTGTCGATGTCTTATTTTTTCTACAGTTTATATTTCTTCTTCCATTGGCACTAATCTGCTCCACTCTATCATAGCACAGACATGAAACCAATTATTAGCTGTTCGCTTAGTGCGAATTCATTTTATTGTCTGTTCAAATAAGACCCAATTCTCTTCTACATATAAATGAGCATTTTTTTCAGGATCAACAACATTACTACATTCTAGAACTTCAATAGGTTTAATAATTATAGGTAAAACATTTTTTGTAAAAACCTCTTTATTATTAAGATTCATTATAACTAAAAAGAGAGGAGTAGTTCAACATTCAAAATCATCTTTAAGTAGTCATTATTGTGTACCATCAGGCATATTTATAACTTGTCATACTAAATGGTTACATATTAGAAAGCAATTTTTAACAAATAATAGACAACTACAAATCCAATAAGAACTCGAATGAAGTATGAACCAACTAAATTGGATAAGTCAGTTGTCTTTGTATTAGTATGCTTTCTTTTACTCTTCTTATTTGAATTTATTTCTTTTTTTTATTCTTTACTCGTATCTAAATATTTCCATTCTCTTTTAAAGCTCTCCCACTAATATGGATTTACTGTGCTGTTTAAAAATTTTAATAACTAATTCTTTTGTAATGGAATTATCTCAGTGAATAGTGTCCAAAATAGAAGATTCAATCTAGAGCCATTAAACCATTGAAGATAAAGTCATTTGATAACTTCTTAGTGAGTTTTAATCTTCATAGTTGTTTTTTCTAGAAAGAATAATGATAAAAACAAAACTTTAATAATATTTAATTTGGATTTAATGTAATTATAATAAAAATTTCTACCTAAAAGTATTGTAGGTTTGGCAGATCAAGCCTACAAAATCCATCGATTAGGTGAGTACCAATTTGTCCAAAAGTACACCAACAATAATTGCAACACATTTTTTATACAAAATTCATAAATCTCTTTTATAACACATTTTCTAATATTACCAATGATATAGTATTCTCTTGAGCATTAACAGATATGAGAGAATGCATGTCAAAATAATTTTTTATAAGTTTTAAAATTAGCTCCTGACACTTTACTGAATAAATAATATAACTTTGTGGGTTGTAATCATTTTCTATAAAATAAAATGCTGGGTCAATAAAATTAAACTTATATGCTATCTAATGAGCATTATAAACTACAGATATTAAATTATTTTTTTTTAACAGCTTTGTTTTTTTTATTAACTTTTGCTTTAGAGTCTACTTCATATGCCAGCAGCAAAGTTGAACTTTTAAAAGTCCTCACATATTGATTACTGCATTTATTTTCCTGAAATCCTTATCTATAAATATAAAATCTGATTCAACATTACATCTTTTTACTATTATAAGAAAAGCTTTTAAGATTTTACAATGCATCTATGTACTAGTATCAGTATTTTCAGTTTTTGTAGTATTCAGTACTAAATAAGCAATTGGAAGTTTAGCACCTTCAATATCAACTACTATACTATAAAACTCATAGCAACCTCTTGCAGTTTTATATGTTGCATCCATATAAGCCTTCATTATATTAATATTATTATTTTTAATTATATCTAACTGTAGAATAATAAAACCAATTACTACAGCTTCAAAATTTTAAATATAAAGACACTGATGAAAGCCTTTATTTTTATATTCTTCAAGCAATTTATATGCTGATTCAACAGAATTAGTATAATGCTGAAAATTATTCTTACTTGTTATAGATTTCTAATAATATATACATTTAGATGAAAACTTAGAAATATCAAATTCCTTACATCATAAATGATTGATTAATTGAGTTGTAGTAAGGTCTGCATAGTTATTAATTTTTTCTTATATTTCAGAAGGCATTTCAGCAATAAGGTCTGGCCTTTCATAAAGAAATTTATTAAGAATATCTACTACTGCAATATCATGTAACATGTCAACTCTTATAACAATTTTATCTTTACAATTATATCTTTCATATTATTTTCAATTTGAATCCTTATATGCATTATTCTGTGCTTCTAATGACTGACAGCATATGTATATAAATTTACTGACTGTATTACTAGACTTTTTAAAGAGAATGGCTTTTTTAAAACTATAGTAATATATATTATAAATGTTTCAATTAAAGAATAATATTAGAAAATACTTTTTAATAAAAATTGAGATTATAATTAAATTTTTAAAAAAACTAAAAATTTTAAAATTATTTATATTAAACTAGGACAGTTTCAATATTATTAGATTTTATCATTAGTAATAATGTTGTTCACCCAAAATTGGATTCCATTAAGTATTTATTTTATTATTAGAAGTAAATTTTTTTTCTTTATTAACAAAATAATTTAAATTATGCTTTACTATTTAGTGAATATATTAATTATTGAAAGGTATTATAACTAGAGTCAATGTCTTTCAATTAACTTTAGTAATAAGATAGATACTTATTTTCACAAATAATTATCTCCTCCTTCAATCTTAGTAATGATAAGATTGAAAACTTCTTTTAACATAATTTGGGTTTTAATGTCTAGATGAACCAGTAATTTTGATTTGTAAATTGGATCAACAACTTTATTCATTTCTGGATTATCTGTTAGCCTTTGAATTTTATGTTTAACAAAGTCACTCAATTTGAGAAAACTAAGATCAATATGTATGACATTATCAATTTCAATATATGTAGTATTATCAACCTCCTCAGTCTCTTGATTTGAATTTTTTTTCTTGGCCAAACTTCTCTTTTTATTATATTCATTATTATTTTTCTTGCAGTTAATATATGTATTATAATATTTACCATTCCAGAAAAACTGATCAGTAGAACAAATTTTCTACATCTAGTGCACTCTATTTTGGTGTTAATATGAAATTAGAGTTGATTTAATGAGTGAAATTTTATTATTATTATTTTTTTTAACACAAAATAGTGTATTAATGAGTGAAATTTAAAACTGCAATATTAGGATGAATTTAGTATTGATTCAAAATATTTGATTTCTGATGAAGTTTTAATGTAAGGTCTCAAATGCTTAGTGAAATAGATAAGACTTAATCTTTAACCAACTTTTACTTAACATAGAGCTCAAAATATAGGTATTTATAAAATAAAAAAAAGTAACAAAAATAAATAATAATTGTTCATGATTCTTGATAATGACATTGATAAGTTAGGAAGATGATGCTAATTATAAAGTTGATCTGAGTACTATTAATAAGTTAAGGAAATATGCACTGTATAGTATCCAGACTTATGTAAGTTCAGAGATTTTCTATTTTATAAACAATAACAAATTCTCTGAAATTATATAAGTTTTAACACTTTAGTACACTAATTATAATGTTGAGCAAGAGACAATTGATGCAAAAACAAAAATATATAAGACTCAATTATGTTTGCAATTAATTGAAAACATTGGACAAAAAATCTGGGATTGTAGACAAAAGTAAATGTCATGATGGTAAGATATGTAATAATTTAATATATTAAATATAATCTACAAATATGATTTTATGTAATCAAAGAATTGAATTTTTTTTATTTTTTATTTATTTTTTAAATAGGTTTCAGACACTTTCAAGTGACTTCATAAGATTGCTAGTGAAATTATAATTTAATCATAAGTTTTTTAAGATCCTTAGAAAAAAAATAGGTATTTAATATTGTAGGTGCAAGGTATTATATTATTTTTTTATTTATTTTACTCATCTATTTTTTTTTTATAAAAATAAACAAAATATATTTTACAAATAAAAAATATTCTATAAAAAGAAACTGCAATTCATGATGACTACATAAAAAAATTGACAATTACTTCAGCAGTCACGCTAATGAATTATTTTATTTTAATATTTGTGATTTTTAATCAATAAATTTAATAAATACAGTTGGTTCTAGTGTAATCAAATATATTATTTATATCATTATTTATCATTATTTAAATTATCCAATTTATTATTTTAATAACATCAAGAAACAATACATTTTGTTTAATAACTTCGAGAAATAATACACTGTTTAATAAAGAAATAGAAATATACTCTTTTTACAATAATAAACAATACATTTAATATACTTATTTAAATAATTGTAATGCAATAAAAGTAATATATATTGAAGATAGGCCTTAAATCTCTTATCTACCATATTTCGATCAGGAAAAAGAATCATGATGCTTACCGAGAGCTAGATATCTTTGAGAATAATTTAAATTTATTCTTACTTGTAAATAAAGAATTCGAGAATGCAAAATTATTACAATTTACTTGATCAATTCTTTTAAAATTTCTAACTCACTTTAGATCCTCGGACTTTTTTTTTTACATGGCATATAACAGTCTTAAAAGCCGGACCTCGGGTTATATATATACAAGAGCAAATTTAATTTCACAGTTATTTAAAACTTTCGTTGCTACATCGTCTGAAATAATAAAGACAAGCCAAAACTTACAAAAGCTTATCATTGAAATAGTAATATTTATTTGTATATTGGAATTTGGAACTGCTTGACAAAAAATTAATCGATTAATTAGGGAAGTAAAAAACTGTAGCAACTAAATAACAATATATCTTACTAAACGAATCTTGATTCATTTTTTCCATATGTTTATACAACTTTGTGAATTAATTACTAATACTCGTAAAAAGAAGTCAGTATATCTAAAATATTGAATAGAAGGTCAAGTAACATGCGCTATCATGTTAGTATGTTTAAAAAAAAAGCGGCTAAGAATAAGTGATAACTGATCGATGAAACATACAGTGTTAAATCGATGCTGTGGCTGCGCCATGATCTACGTCACTGCGTTTTTGGGGCCGCCCTGGATGATTCTATGACCATATGGAAAACCTACTTATTGTATTTTTTGAGTATTTACTTTTATTGAAAATATCTTAAAATCAGACAGTTTAGTACCTATTGTTCTTGATATTATTTAAATCATCTCATTAAAATGATTCAAATGATATTAAAATTAGTAGATATTAAATTGCCTGATTTTAATATATTTTTATTAAAAGTAAAAATTCAAAAATTACAACATAGGAGTTAGTGAGTGGTTGCGCAATCGAGGTTGTGCCAGAATCATGATTGTGAAAATCAATCAGTCAGGTGACGCGTTAATAATAAGAACAAGAATCAGGATTCCCGCATCAGGACATTTCCCGGTCGATTAGTACAATATTCGAACATTTAACAAAATAAAATACCCAGTACCCCAGTCCTGAGAACTTAAATGTGAGGAGGCCTTAAAAATATAGAAGGCTTCCAATGTCGGAAAAGGCTGGTAAAGATTGTCGCCACGTGGCGTCCTGAGGCGATCATGCCAATAGGGTAAAAAAAAAAAATTACTACATATAGGTCTTCCCTTGGCGGCATTCATGCGAAATGTCGGATAATTATACGTAATAAATATAATCAAAATTTCATTATATTTTTAGAATTAGATCATTTTTTCTTGGATTTGTTTATATATTAATGCTTGAGTGAACACTTTCTCTATTTAATATTGCTTCAAATTGTATATTTTAATGTCAATAACAATAGTGAATTTCACGAGAAAATTATTTTAAACGAATATAAAGTCCAAGTTTATTTATTTTACGGATCATAAATTTGTAATATCAGATCGAATCTCATTTTTTGTTGTAACATATTTTTATACTAAAATACTTGTTCAAAGAGGTAACAAAAAACCATTAATGTTAAAAGGCTATGACATATGACAAAAAAAATTTTTTTTTTAATATTAATGGTTATGACAAAAATTTTACGCCACCATTGTTTATTTATTTATCAAAGCCACTTAACTACGAAACTTTGTAAGTTTGAACTAAGAAAAAAACGCAACATGACAAATAAATAATAAGCCTTATGTAAAAAAGAAAAAAACATACTCGTTTTTGCTTACGAATACCTAACGCTAATTCTTTTGAGAATTTCGCCAAGTAGACAACATGGATGCATGTTACTGCTGGTATGTTACAATTTATACATTAGACTTTTTGTATTCATTGAATATTACCGTAAATATGAATCATATTTAGAATGCATTTGACTTTAGTCAAGATAAAGAAACTTATAATCCAAATGATTATATAATTTTCTTTTTATTTTCTTTATTTATTTTACTCATTTATTCATTTATTAATTCATTCACGAGAAAATCAAATTACTCTTTATAAATGATAAATAATTTATAAAAGCTATCCTTCGTAATAAATACATAGCGTTCCGCCTCCAACATGTACTGTTATTCTATCAACTATCAGTGTGGTGAGAATTTATAATCGTTTAATAATAATTTAACTAAAACAAATATATTTATTCTTTTAATTATTATAAATTTAGCTATTTTCCACATATATCGCAGTTTGTTTAAAAGAACCAGAACGTACATATATGTTTAGATCTTTGATTTATTTTCAGTTTGTATCGCTTATATTTATTATTCTCCAACTTTATATATTTATTAATAGAATATGCACCTGACTTGTCAATACCACTAACTCTGGTGATAACTGTAACTTTCATCATTCTTGCCTTGATCTCAGTATTTGGAATTGTTAGTACATTCTATGTAAGCATTTATTTCGTATTATATATATTTTCAGAATTTAATTATTTAATAAATTATTTATTTAAAAGTCTATTCATTATCCTGATTATAGAAAGCACCGGGTGCAATAAGAATGTATTCAATAATGATTTGGGGTTTTATAATAATTATGTTTCTCATTTCAATAATTGTTATTAATAGCGTTGCTCAAAATAGGCAGAATGAGATTAATATATGTGTAAAAAAACTCCAATCTCAAGATGATTCTGAATATACTATTAAAAACTCTACTACAACGACGAATATTACCGAATTTTGCGAAAAATTTACAACAGGCATTATAGTACGTTATGGTCTTATTGTAATGTCTATAATAATATTTTTGGTGTGTGGATTTTTATTGTGTCTTTTTTTTTTCTTTCAAAAATTTACCTACTAAAATTTCCAATTTTTGCTTTAAGTTATTTTTGGCGGGAGCTGTTGGTAAACATGCTGCCCAACTTGAAGAAGAATATCCTAGATATGATCATTCCACAACTGTACAGGAATAATTCAAAAAATTGCATCTATAATATCATTTTTATGCAAAAACGAAATATCATAATCAATTTAACAATGGTAATTAGGATAACTTTGAAATTATTGTACCAAAGAAATTTATAAAAAAAATTATTTAAATATAAAAAGATTTTTTTAAAATAAGATTACTTGGAATCATGTGCATGTCCGTCCGAGTTGAATCAAAAACGTTACCAACAAAAAAAGATTTATTTAAAAAATGTTTACATTCTTTACTCAATTTTACTTTTTGATATAATTAAATCCACTTCGGGTCGAATTATGAGGCATAATAGTTTTAATTATCTTAATACTGTCTGAATTAGAGTCGGGTAATTACGTATTTCTAATTGTAATTTAAATTTTAAGTTATTTACAAAAAATTCAATAACAATAATAGTATAGTTCGTCTCTAGCCTGAATTAAAGGTTAACATAATTAAACGGTCAAATTGTTAATTATATTAAATAATCATAAGTAATTAATTCAGCCCATCTCTAGCCTGAATTAAAGGTTGACATGATTAAACAGTTACTTTGATAGAAAATGTTATGCGGTTCCCAATTCCTATTAAAAAATAGGGTTGGCTATTTTTTCTAATATATAACCTATACACGTTCCTGAAATCAATTTACAAAACATGGTATATTTTGTCTTTGTCATAATAATTAAAATTTTTTATGTGAATGAATAAAAAAAAAAAAACATTTATATATAATTTTGATCAAGGAAACTAAACCAATTTTCATCTACAATTACTATTTCTGGTTTCAGATTTATCACACAATATTCGGTAGAAAATTTAATTCGTCCTCATGCATAAATCTAACGTTAGAATAACACAAAAATTAATTATTAACCAATTCCCCAAGGAAATTAACAAAGTCTAAGTTAGCATCATCAAGAATATTATCCACATCTGTCGATAAGGTAATATCTCCTATCGCTCCATTGATTATACCATATATACTCACACGAGAACGATCATAATGATTATATACAGGACCTCCAAGATCTCCAGTATTACTATCCATGTCTATAACGTAATTAATTCTATAAGGATCAATTGCATCAAAAAAGCGAGCAGTATGTGCTCTTAGAAAACCACAAGTAACACGTGTATGGTAGCCAGATTTGCATAAATGAACACCAAGATTATTGGTTTCTATAAAATCGTTTTCTAAACCATTATTATCAATTATACGGAGCTCTGCATAATCAGGAGAATCAATATTCTTTATGAATCCGATTGGTTCGACGTCACCTTCTACTCTGAGGATACTGTAATTGGTTTCATTATGAACTACTCTATTATCCATTTTTCCAATATGATTGCGTACATCTGATAAAGGTAAATTTGGTAAACCCCATGGTTTAAGATAATAATCTTGATCAAATCGAAAACAACGTCCTGAGGATACAAAAACATTCTCCTGTGTTTGTCTCCTTTTTGCCCAAAAGCCCAATGAACATGTCAAATCTTCAGCTAAATTAGTAAAACCATCACCAGCTAATGCAGGGATTGCTATAAAAGGTTGGCGTTTCATAACATTTAAATTATTTTGACCATTATTATTTAAATTCTTACGTTCGAAAATTGGAGGGGAATTAAATAGTCCAGGTGCTTGTATAGCTTGCATAAATTCTTTATTCTGATTTTCATGTTCACGATATAGAGCTATAACGTTATTATTAAGTCTTACATCAATGAAAATAGTAACAAAAATTGGATTATGTTCATCAGCTATTCTTTTTAATTCTCTCTGTCTATCTTGTAAGTTAGGTAGGGAAAGATTATTTGCAGCTTGTTCAAACACTAATAAATGTGCAACCGGAGCTACCTCTGGGTTATTTCTTATATTTTGAACTTGACTGAAGTCTACTGTGTAAACAGCTACATTATTATTAGTTACTCTTATATAAGTTCCCGCAAAAGCGTTTATTACATCTTCATTATCATCATCATCATCATCATCATTAATGACTCCTTTTACGGCATCATCCACCGCTATTAATTGGGTCTCAATCTCTATTAAACGTTCTATTTGGTCATCTGTTACGTTCCATAATCTCGCCAATGAGTCTTCCTGAGCATAAGTTATTGGACATTTTTGTAATGTAAAAATAAATAACAATTAAAATAATAATGAAATGATTTTAAAGTAAATGGTTCTCATTGTGGTCTACGTTTATAAGAATAAAATAATAATTATTAATAATAAATAAGATTTTTTCGATTTAAAATGATATTTGTAATAATAATAAATTTAAACTGACAATGCTAGAAATATATTGTTAGCAATGGTATATTTTTTTTTCTGTCTACAAATTCTTGTAATTAATTTTTAGGCGACTAATTTTTAAGAATGCAACTAATTAATTTTTTTAATACCCATGAAAGATAAAATGTTTATAAAATTCTGAATTGTTACGTTATTTTATATATTTTGATTATTCTCATTATTCTTAAATTGACTATTATTCAATTAATTTTCCTCTATATTTGATCTTTATTTTGTATGATTTCAATTCTAAGATTATCGAATTAGTTAGCCAGATAAGAACATGCTAAAGGATAACGATAAGTTATCTGAATTTGCTGTATATATATATTATTGATTATCTAATATCAAAAATTATAAAATGCACCTATAGTGTTGAACATTATATGAAATTTTATAAATAAATTTAGGATTAGGGTGCAGCTTTAGAATAAAGGGAAGTTTTATATAAGGGAGCTGACATTTAAGAGCTCAATATAACCCCTTCTGGGAATTGTTGATTGACTACTTCCAATACCCCTAGAGTCAGTTATTTGATATTATTCTATATTCTCCAGAGTTAGTCATTTAATATATATAAAACTATCAATTGACTACTATAGTATCATAGAGTCAGTCATTTTGACAACACCTTATATCCCCTCATAATTACACCTGCAGAAAAGCTTATTTAATATTTATAATGTTGGGTTCGGAAGTTTGCGACTCTGTCGCTCCAAAATCCTAAACCTCGTGTAACGTACGATAAGTAACCTTTTCG